ATTTGAGCATAATAGTTGACAACCTAAAAAAAAATACGTTATGCAATATACAACAAGGATAAAACTAGAAAATAACTATCAATACTACCAACAGTTTACCAACAAAACACTTCTAGTGCAGAAGCATCTCATACACTGCACTGATCCAGTGTTTAAATATGTTATTTTAGGAAAACAATCACACAATAATATCATTCTACTGTTTTCAAAAACTATGACATTTATTTCACTTTTTATTCTTTCCAGTCATTGTAATTTTATCACTACAAAGTTAGTCAGTAGGGGTAGCAGTGCACTCACTGCTCCAGCTCAAACTCCACCCACAAGCACAGCCACTGGCTAATGAGCTGCTCAATGCTGCTGCTTTACTGGCTCTCTACTGAAACATCTGCATGAATTAGGGTATGCTTCATGTAAATGATATGTAAATGAGATACTGGTAGTCTGGCAATTAAGCTGATTCGTCATTTGCACTCAAATCCATGTCGTAAGAAAGTTTTATGAATCAGACAGAGTAGTTGGTACGTCATTAAAGGCGGTCTAATCACTCTTTTTAATGCTACTTTGATGGATAAGGCCCACTGTGCATCATGAAAATGTCTTCAAATACTGAGATGTTATGTTTTTGCCGTATCATATCGTACCACTAGTTCACTACGACTCCATAAGTAATAAGTTACTGTAAACCCACACACAACACATCATGCTTTTACATGCTATTTATTACCTATAGGTGTGAAAGGTCAAATTCTTAGGACAGATTGTGTGTATTCATGTAAATAATATGTAAATGAGGTACAGGTAGTCGGGCGCTTGATTTCACGCACTGAAGCGGACTCTTTATTTGCACTCAAATCTCTGCATGTTTTCACGTCATGCGAAAGCTTCGCGATTGAGACGAAGAGTAGTTTGAATGTCAGTAAATCTGCGCTCTTTTTCCAGAGCTTAGATGAACGCGGGCCAACGTGTCACCCTTTGGATTCGTCTCATTTAGCAACCTGTTAGTCTCCTTACAAAGCACACATTTAAAATATCCCGAGGAGCCATTTAGTGCGTAACTTTTACATTAAAAAATAGTGATATTCTGTTTGGTTTATACTCGAGTACAGTACAGACATCTGTCCAACTGTCTGTTCATTAGTCTGCTCTGGCTGTTTCAGCAGTTCCTTACTGAGGCTTGCAGGCAAAGTCACAGTTAAACCTGCATGAACTCTTTGCTGCAGCTGCTACTTTTGATGCTTCATGCATAAATAAGAAAAACAGGCTTGTTTGGAAAACGGAAAATTGCAGATCAGTGGGGACCCAGCATTTGCCACCAGGCATTCACCTCAGTCACACTCCAGAGGTGTGCCTACTTGACAGAGAGACAAACAAACAAACAAACAAACAAACACATGGAGGAAGAATTTAAAGGAACACAACTGTGCTCGATCAGCCAGACCAGCCCTTTTGGCTTCCAGTGCTCAGACACACAACGCTCCTCCACATCTGCTGAGCCCATCCACAGAGTAGCTCTTCAAATTAAATATGGGGGGTGGGGGTTATAGACAGACTGGATGGCCTGCACTCAAATATTATGCATGAATTATAAGCACAGCAAACACTTTCACACCAGCCATCAAAGCAATTCAGCACTTTATGATATAATATTATGCTTTTTCATTTCGTCCTGAAGAAAACTGATGGGTGGGGGGAAAAACGTAATGCCTCCTGATACCCAGATTAGCACGGCAGATTTTGGAGCTCCAAATTCAATTGCTTTTTCACTGTTGAACCACAATAAACTTTGAAGTGAAAATCCAAAAACTGCACTTCAAACCTCTAAACGGGATTAGTAAAGTAATCCGAGCATTAATAGTATTTGCCTTCAAGGATTTACTGTATTTCCTGGATCATTCAGTGTTAAACATGGTTAAATGGCTTTGTGTAGAAAACATGCCTGTTTTCTTGCACTGACAGTCCCTCGCATTGCATGCACTGAGCTCTTTTTCCATCAGGCTTGAGAGATTTCAGTATGTGCGCATCATCAGCTAGAAATCTCAGTTAATCCAGGCGTCCAGCTTGGGTGATTGGCTGAAACAGGAAGAGTTTTTTTTTTTGTTTGTTTTGTTTTTTTTGTTTTTAGGCCTGGAAATATCTAAAAACTATTAGCATGATATTTTCTTGTTGCAAAAATAAATAAATAAATAAAGAAAAATCAGAATTATTGATTGTATCTGCCCCCCAAGCCTCACACAAAAAAACACAAGTGGTCAAAGACAGCTTATTCACACTTTATGTGCTTATGTTTTAGCCTTAACTTAAAAAGAGAAAATAAGAAAGAGTAAAGAGAATCTTTAATGGAGGTCACATATTAAACGGCCCATATCATACTTTTTCCTGTATATTACATTTTGTGGCTTTATTATCATTTGTAACATTTTATGCACCTAAAACTGTCATAATTCATTTCTACATGACCATATTCCAACCTCTCTTTATCCCTTAGAATTAACCAGGCTGGTTTTTGTTACTGTGCCTTTAAAGGGAAATTCCACCCACTTTATAAAGGTTCTGCACAAATATATCTTTGAGATGAGAACAGAGTCATTCAGAGTGGTTTGATGTGAAATATTCTTTTCTAGAGAAGTCAGTATTATTCACAGTGGTGGTGGTAGGAACCAGACGTCTGAAGAGTTTAATGCCTCTAAAAGTTCCCTCACAAAAAGTTATTACAGGAAATTGTTACAAATATGCTTCCTGATGCACGAGACATTGCTCTATGAAAGTTTTGAGAAAAAAATATGGAGAGGTATGTGCAGAGTGCTGTGAGGCAAAATATCCAAAGTATACAAAGAAACTCTTTTCCCCATTTTTTGTGCACTAAAAGGCTGAAAAACAGTCAGCATTACTTGAACAGCTTTTTCTTTAAAGGCTACAAAATATATATATATATATATATATATATATATATATATATATATATACACATATAAAAAAAATTTATATATATATATATATATATATATATATATATATAGAGAGAGAGAGAGAGAGAGAGAGGTTTTTTTTATCAAGGCACACAATAATAAATAATTATTGTTTGTTTGTTTGTTGTGACAGTAGTCAGTACTGCCTTGCATACTTGAAACAGAAAAATCCTTATGTTTACAGGCATGTATTTCAGGGTGGAGGAGAGTCTGAGCTGTGCACGTGTGAGTTTTGTCACTGGCTCTTTAGCCTAATGGTTAAGTTACTTGTCTCCCCGTGGGAGAGCACGGTTCAATTGCAGAGCAGAGAAGCAATCATTAGGTTTATAATGTTTTTGCTGGCAATGATATGACATCTCTTGATCTGTCACCGCAGCTCTTAATGATGTGTTAATCATTGAGACTCATATCACAAGAATGATAACATGATGTATCCTGCAGTCCTTATTAGGGCAACGTATAGAAGAAGCACATCACAATTATCACTTATTGCCAATATTCAGTTAAAATGTCATATCAAACAGGTCAACTTGCTTTGCTGTCAATACAAATATTCATATTTATATTTAGTTCCATCGTCAAAATAATCCGTAGCTTACCTGATTAATAATATATAACAGTGACAGACTTAATATATGAGAATATTTTGCTGGAACACACATCCTGCTCCTTTTAGGCCTGGTTTTCCCCTCCTCAGTCGTATTTAGGAGGAAAAATACAGGCAGTAATGACGCGATGCAACTCATTTCACTGGCTCTGTTTGGCTTAAATCCTGCATCTTTAGTGATGTTCCAGTTGTGGAAAAAGAAGCCACTGTTTTTCGCAGCAGTCTGCCATCCGTCCGGGGCGTGCCAAGACCACGGGCTAGTTGTTGATGGAAAGGTACAAGCTATGCCTGTATCTCAACTCATTATGCCCTCTCTCAGGAATCAATTCTAATTCAATTAACCCAGACAAGAGCATGATATGAGCAACACATGCACACAAATGCTTATGATGATGAAACAAACGACCCAAAAACTGATTAGAGAACATGTGGAGGACAACATCAGAGAATTATGCACAAAGAATCAGTGGACTAGTCATGACAAAAAAAAAGGAAAAAAAGAAAAAAAAAAAAATCAGCAGTCTTTTTCATCATGCTATCCTAAAAACTACAGATCAAAAATAACAAATTGGAAGGTATGAAATTAATGTGCATTATCTCTATTTATCTACTGTTATATGCAATAAAAATGACCTGATGATGTAGAAATGATAAGTAAAAATAACTGAAAACATCCTCTACAGAGAACACACTTCTGCACAACTGTAATGTACAACTACTGTTTATTTACTGAACTTAACATAAAAAAAAACACCAAAAAAAAAACCAAAATGTGGCCTGTGCAAAAATTGTGCCGTATATTATACTATGTTTTTTTGATCTCTAAATAGGTTATTCCAATATGCTTAACTCATTACATAAATATAAATTGTGCAAAAAAGTGACATATTTAGGTTGTACAGGATGTTTTCACTTATTCTCACTTAGAAAAACCAAAAAATGTCATCTGAGTGGGTGGGGGGGGTGGGGGGGGGGTGGGGGGGGTGTTCAAGCATTTGCATACAACTGCATAAAATGATTATGATGCTAATATTTCAAACTATTTGAAGGAAGCTGTAAAATTGGGAACATCTTGATGATGAACTGAGCTCTAGATCACTCCATAATAACTGAGGAAGCTGTATAGCATCTAGAATAAACTAATTAAATGAACATTTAGAATGCCTCACATTAGCAAAACGGTGATCTAATCTCACTGAACAAATACTTTTCCACTGTAATTTTGTGATGAGAACATGTTGGGGCGATATTTTCCTTTGTTGCACCAAAAAAGAAGAAATTGTAGGCATTACGGTTTCGATAAGTTGATTAATTAATTGATTAAAGAAAAACTATCTTCAGCAGCAGTGCTGCTATACAGCGTTAGAGAAGCTAAAGAAACCCGCATGTGAGCATATGAAACAGGCTGGAGAATGCAGGCTTACCAGTGCTGGGTCTATAAAGCTGTCTGAAATCCTCAGATGCTTTCCCACTCATTTAATAACCTCTTCAGTGTCCCAGGAGCTTAGGCTTCCCTACAGAGGAGGAAAGGAAAACATTCTTTAAAGGAATATCTCACCTACAGTACTGGGTAAAAGTCAGGGACCACCTTTCATACATCATTTCCAGTCAAAACAGCCATTAAGTACAAGTTATTTATTGCCAGATGTTTCTGAGCGGATTAGATATAAGATAATCCACTTGCATAAGGAAGAAAGTCAAACGAAAATAAGTGGAAAAACATGATTTTCCAGAACTGGAGTTCAAAAAATGATTAAAGGCTACAGAGAAAACAAGGCTTCTAACAACTACCTGGAAGACCTGGTAGACCCCAAAACTGCCCCCCATCAGATAAACAGCACTTAAAGCTTTCATCTCTGAGAGAGAGGAGAAAATCAAGCTGCTTCAGATCTGAAAACATCCACAGGTGTTTCTGTCCATCCTTCCACTGTGAGAAGACGACTCAGCGCTGTGGGTCTGAAAGGATGTGTAGCTGTTCAAGAAGAACCTCACTGAGAAAAGGAGACGGACACATCAAACAAAGAAGCTGAACGATGGACTGACCGCCCCAGAGTCCAGACCTCAACAACAACATTCTAGATTTTCACTTATGCTTCTCTACATAAATGTAACACATACACAATGAATTAAACAATGTTCATTAAAGCCCAGGTTCTGGATTACTGGAAGACGTATTCCGATCAGGAATTCTTGCTCCACATTTCAAAAAGAGAGTCTGTTTCAACACCCAAACCACACAATCTCTTCTTCTTATCCAACAGTGTCACATTTGCATTTATCTCATTACAAAAAACTATTCATGTGAAACAGCAGATGACATTCACAAGCAGGGCTTTAGTTCTGTACTGGTTTTGATCAGATTGGGTCTCCAAACTTCTGACGACACTACAATGAAACCTCTTGTCCTCACAAGGACATCTGACACGCTAACGGATCAAAAAACCTGATGCATGGATTGAGACGTTGGAAGCCCTAACCAAAATCAAACATGCCAACAATTACTGCCGAGGGTGACAATTACCAGACAGAGAGATGGCAGTTGAGGGGATCTTTGTACTGCTGTATTCTATTATTGTTACGACCCTCAGTAGAATGAAATGAAACGAATTTAAGCTTCAACCGGATACCAAGACTAGACTACACTGTTAGAAATAAAGGTTCTGTTCAGGTACATTTTTCGTTCATCAAGGTACAAACAATGTAAATGTTCCCTCAAAGGTACAACAGTTACTTTAAGGTCCAATTGTGAACCTTAAATAAGTTAAAAATTAAGAATAAGGGAAAAAGTACATATTTGTACCTTTTCATAACCTAACAAGATAAGATAATCCTTTATTAGTCCCACAACAGGGAAATTCTCAGTGTTACAGTAGCAAAGGGAGAGCAAGGCACTCAAGAAAAAGAAGAGAATTAACAAGTAAATAATTGCGCGACCAGTGTCTGGTAAGGGGGACACTAAAACCAAGGAGCTCAGAGCCTCAAATCTGTTTGTTGAGGGGATTTCTGGCGGTGGAAGAGGAGGATGCTGGCGCTTCTGCCTCTGCTTCCAGGGTGTCCACTCAGACAGGTCTGTAGCTCTAAAAGCTCCTCAGTCCTCTGCTCTCTGTATCTCGGCTATGCCTGAGCTCTACTTAGCCAGTGTGTCCCCCGCTGGTGCTTTCCATGATGGTGAACTAGTCAAATACAATTTAAAAATGTAATTAAATCAGCTAAAACTAAAACTATGATGGTGATGAATAAAACTACCACTCTATTTTTCACTCCTTTAGCATCTATGTGACTGTTTAAAGTTGTACTTGAATATGAGGGCGGCAATCGCAGCTTTTATAGCAACATAAAGTGCATAAGCAGCTGAGCTTCAGCCTGGACTACATCACTGCCACCTAGTGGATATATTTCCAGTGGCAGTAATTAATATATTGCTGCTGTCGGAACAAAACCTCATCTCCATTTTTTGTCATTTTTCAGTGTTTGGCATAATTTAAAAATGCCTGTTGCTCTTTACAACGTGTATAAATTTCATGATGAACGGACCAAAAGAAACGGCTCAAAATTACTTGGAAATAAAGTCTGGTTCCACTGACTTACATTAAAAGTATTACCATTTTGGAGATACCAGGTTTTGTTCTGACGGCAGCGATATGTGAAATTATAGTTAGTTATAAATTGTAAATATTATTGTTTTTAACTGTTGCACTGTTGGCAACTTTGTTGAACTTGGTTTAAGCTACCCTGAATTATAAAATTCTGGAAAAACTACATCAGCACCTATATAAAAAATATACAAGTCTATATGACCAAGAGTTCGTCCTGCCCACAGACTAATGCCAGCTGGTGGATTCCAAACCCAAGTTTAAATCTGACAGGTTTTGACTGTGACGGAGTAGAAGGAGCTGAAGGTAGCAAGACTCAAGTCACACATTTCTTCTGAATCTGAACTTCATGCACAGCCCTGGGGCTCTCCATAGTCATCTTTCTCCTGAACATGACGGCTTGAGCCATATAACCTGGCACACATTTTGACTTGCGTGGACCCTGTAAGGGTGCAGTGACAGGGCAGAGGCTCATTATATCTAAGCAGAACTTACAGCACTTTTTAATGCTATATACCAACATTGCTGCTTATATGAATAGTTACTGCAGTAGAGATAAAATAACACAGATAGAAGGCACTTCAGGATGTGAACATCTGGGTTTACTAAAAGCACTGAGAGGTCCTGGAGTTCTTGCAACAGTAGCAAAATGCTAAACAGTAGCCAATTTAATGCAACCAACGGTATGCAAGAGAGAAAACTCCAGACTTATGACTAGAGGTGCACAATATATCAGTGGCCAAAACATAACTTACAGTTAATTGGAAATCACTAGTGGTTTGTCTGTATGAGTAAAAGTGGGAAAATTATTATCAGCCTGATGTTGGACCGGAAATATGTGGTACCATTTTTGCTCACAGACAAAAATACTCACTCAGAAGGACAGCACAGTGGATAACACAACAGTTCCACATACAAAATGCCAGTTCCTCACTAATAAAAATCTAAGAGCAAGACTGCTTCACATTTAATAATAATAATTTTTATTTACATACCGCTTTTCATGCCGGTGGCAGCTCAAAGTGCTTTACAGACAGGTGATAAAGCTTAACACTAACACAAGAAATTATATGTAATCATTTAGAATCATAAGAAAATGGCACAGATCAAATTAAAAAAGATAAACACCACAAGACAGAGTTTTAATTAAATACTAGATACATTTTTTAAAGTGAGCTGTAACTGTCTAATAAAAGGTGAACTGAGTTCCACAGTTTAGAAGCAGAATAACTGAACGAGTCTCTCCATGTTTTTTACTGAAGGTGTTTGCAGAAGGTCAGTATCTGCAGATCTAAGATTACGTGCAGGAACATAAACAGACAGACACTCTGTGATGTAAGTGGAGCATTAAGGTCATTTAGAGCTTTAAAAACTAGTAGCAGAACTTCAAAATCTATCCTGAATGATACAGGCAGTCAGTACGGTTTTTAAAACAGGAGTGATCTGACCTCTCTGTGTTGTTTTTGTTAGGATCTGTGCTGCTGCATTTTGTACGAGTTATAAAGGATGTACTGCTTTCTTAGCGAGTCCAGTAAGAAGATCATTACAGTGATCAACTCTGCTTGTAAGAAATGTATCAACAAGTTTCTCTGCATCACTCTGAGACAGAAAAGGCTGAACTTCAGTGATATTTCCAAAATTATAAAAAGCTACTTTAGTAACTGTGTTTACATACAGATAAAACAGAGCTCAGAGTCTAAGATCACACCCAGGTTTCCTTCTTCAGGTTTTGTATATGAAGCTAAAGAACCAAGTTTATTTTGTGATTTAATTGTAGAAAAGTTTGTGACATCACTGACACACAGCTGGTCAGTCTGTCTACAGAGTCTTGATCATCAGAAGGAATGGAAATATATAACTGGGTGTCATCAGCATAGTTATGAAAATTTATTTTTCATTATGTTTCCTCATGACATCACCTAGAGGTAGCATGTATAAAGAGAAAAGCAAAGGCCTTAAAACTGAACCTTGAGGGACTCCACAAGAAATGAAAAATCTTTTTGATGAATGATATCCCATCAAAACCATTAACTGCCTATTAGTTGAATATGATTTGTAAGCTCTCTAGATAGGGGCATCTGCTACTGTATAAAATTTCCAAAAATAATGTAAATGTATGTAAAATAATGCAAACATGTAAATGTAATATAAATGTAAACTCCCTAAGAACATGAGAAAGAACTCAGAAGGAAAAGGAAAAACTCTCTAAGACAACGAGGAAAAAACACAAAGGAACCAAGACTTGTCAATCTCTTCCGGTTGACACCAGATAGCAAAATAATAAAAACAACAACAGTAAGAGTCAGAAGAACTGTGGATAAAGAAAGTGAGCCTCATAAATACACAGAAGCATTCAGATTACCAAATGAAAACCAATGGCTAATGTTAAATGCCTATTAAAGCTCATCTAAAAATCTAACAAAAGGGTGTTTTACTTGTTACATGATATGATGGCCATTTCTGTCCTTCTTTCCCAATGTGGCTAGCCATCCTGTAGAATGTTCTGGGTCAAGCCCTCTAGCCTCCCTAAGTTCTCCAGGCCAAGCGTCTGTCACAGCCCCAGTGCCAGAACACTGCCATGGGTAGATAAGAGCTTCAGGAGCAGCCTGGGAGAGCCAGGCACACAGAGCTTGGAGGAGACTCTGGGGCTAAGCCTCCAAGAGCAAACACAGCCTTTCCAGCCATTAAAGCAGCTACACAGGCCCCATCCAAACCTCAGGAGCGAAGGAACCCGACAGTCTGTTTCTGACTAGGTTTCAACAGAAACAATATTTATATATTCCAGCAAAGCCTTACAGAGATGGTTTGGCAAAAGACCTAATTACAGAGTTTTCCCCTTACGCCAAATGCAGTCGATCACCAAGTTTGCCAAGTTTGAACGGTCCAAAGTTTGCTTTATTAGATTTGCACTGGAGCTTCAA